GGCGGGGAAGGGTGTTGGGGGCCATAAGAGGCTGTGTGGGGTCACTCAACTGTTCTCTATCTCAACAGCTGGTTGGCTACATGGGCATAAGCCCTTATCCCTTTATCAGAGCATCTAAATTCTGTACATTTTACTGTATGTCAATAACTCAATTTAAATTGTTTTTAATTAGGGGCGCCTGGGTGGCTCAGTCGTTAAGCGTCTGCCTTCGGCTCAGGTCATGATCCCAGGGTCCTGGGGATCGAGCCCCGCATCGGGCTCCCTGCTCCGCGGGAGGCCTGCTTCTCCCTCTCCCATTCCCCCTGCTTGTGTTCCCTCTCTCGCTGTCTCTCTCTCTCTGTCAAAAAATAAATAAAATCTTTAAAAATAAACAAATAAAAATAAATTGTTTTTAATTAAAAAGAAAAATAGGCATAGGACGTCCATGCACGACTCTAGAACAAGAGTCTGAATAAGCTAATAAGCACTGAAAAATGCTCAAACTCATGAGTCAGAGAAATGCAAATCAACACAAGCCTACACAGTTTTTGCCCATTGCAATGAGGATGGTGTGGGGACAGTGGGGTCTGGCAGGCCTCTGTGTAGGGTCAGGGGCTCAGGGGTGGGGTGGGGTGGGGGACAGTGAGCACCAGGAAACGTGGTACACCAGCACAAGGAGCAATCTGGGAGATCGTACAATGTGTTATCAATCAACACTGTTTCTACGGAACAGACACCCCATCATCCCCATCTCCTAGCCTCACATGATCACCACAGATCTTTCAGGGATACGTGCCCATGAGGACGGCAGTAGTCCACAGAGAAGAACAAGCCAATGGAAAGAGAGGGCAGCCTTTCCCATGCCCCGCAACAGTGACCTGCGCCAACACCACCCCCCCAGGACCTCCCCGCAGGGTGACTTCCTCCCACAATAATGTCCCCTCCATGGTGACCTCCCCATGATGTCCCACTCCAGGCACCTGCATACCACCTGCACCTGCAGTCAACTGAGGCACAGACCAAGAAGGAGCAGGAGCCTGCGCACAGCTCCCACCCTGGCCCCCTGGCAGCGCCCACGTCCAGCGGCTCCACAAGCAGGTGCACTGCTGCTTACTGCTCTCACCGTGACATCCTCTGGACATTTCTCCCTGCAGGACACACGCTACAGGGGGACCTGCGCCACCATGTGGGTGACCAAAGATACGCCCTACCAGTCACTGGCTGGCAGCGCTGGCAAGCTACTGACGGCCCGTGCTGTCAGCCACCATCAGGAGGACAGACCACAGGAAACACCAGGGACTGCGCCTGCCGAACAGTCAAAACTCCATAAATGCTGCTGCGCTGGTTATCATTACTACTTCATACTAGGTGTCAGTCACGACGGGAAAGGGGCTGATGTTAAAGTCGCCAAAGTGCAAGTTTACAGGATGGAGTTAGGAGAACTAAGAGAGGGCAATTCAGAACAAGATTGAACCACGCCATTCTGAATACCAGAACCAGCTGCCCAAGGCACAAGCCCTTCCCGCAAAGACCTCAGTTATCCGTGCTGGAGAAAAGATCCACTCAGCACCCCTCCCTGGGTGAGAGCAGCCACGGAAGTCGAGAGTAAAGATACTCGGAGCAAGACCACCAAGCCACAGGGCTCAGGCACACTACCTGTGTGAAAGAGCCATAGGCTAAAATGTCAGTGAGCAACGACCGCCCAATCATCTTTTCAAATCAACTTAAAATGTGCTATGCTGTGCATCCCTGTAGAGGATGTCCTGATTCAACCTACGATCCTCTCCTTCCGTCACACCAACCCCAGTGGTTTCTGAACCCTCCAGCCAAGAGTCCTATCGCACAACCCTGCGACTGCCAGCCGATATCAAACGGCCCCTGTGCCCTCACCAATCCCGACACTGGACACAGACAGGGGAGGAGCCCTCTAAAAGCAGGGACCAGGAGGCAGAGGGGTGGAGGGCTAGGACAACAGCCGGAGTGTGGCATGTGCCCTTACAGCTTCTCGGGCCAGCAATGACCCCAAACAGAACACAAGGGACCCACGTTCATCAAAGGCCACTGATACCACGCATGGCACACAGTGTTCCAGCAAACACACACGACTAGTTACACATACATTATGGGACAGTTCTGTGGACTTGTTTCTTTTTCTGAAGAGCTGCCCACACCCCACCCCGTCCACATCACTGGCAGTGCAGCCAGTCAAACAGTCACTGGAGAGGTGGACTCACCTTCGGGGCAAAACCCGTCTTGGCAGAGCAATCACCTCCGTTACCTCTCTGGACAGTAGGAAGCAAGCAAGAACATGCAAAATCCAAAACAAGAGATCATAAAGAATGTATTCTAGAATCTGCTTGGGTCCAGCATCTCTTGACACTGGGGTTACACCCAGTAAACTGATTTTTTTTTTTAATGAAAACTTAAAACCAATTTTCAAAAGATTAGGAAGCCATCTGGCTCCACAGTTCTGCCCCACAACCCATTTCATGCTCCAGATGCAAATTCCAAAAAGCTATGAAAATAATGTTTTTTTCCCTAAACCATCTGACAGCAAAATCTGATCTATCCTAAATTCATCTGGGGCAACACCTGACATGAACTGAGGTGGGGCTATTTAAAGACTTCATTACCCCACAGTGAGGATACTCACTCATCTAATTATGGATATATGATTTATTTGATTATTAAAGACTTTCCCCCACTCTTGTAGGAATATCAGGATATACAGGATGTCTGCTATCTTTCCAAAGCCTGAAGAATTGTGAAGTTGTCAACATCTCTACCCAACGGTTTAGGGTCTGGAACCTTCCCCAGGTTTATAACAAGACAGCATGAACTCCCACAGCCTAGGTTCCAGGGTTGCTGTTTTTCCTGAAAGACTTCATATGGCTTTCTTACCATTTAAGTTCAGGAAGAGGCTTTACAAGCTTTAGAGGCTACGAGGCTCTGTTACTTTTCTAAAGACCAAGACTGTGCGAGGTATTTTTATATCCTGACTTGTCTAGATAGCAAAAGGAGTGGGTTCTTTTGCACAACCATATTGGCTCCTTCCCATTTCCTTGTTCTTTATCCTGTGTGTTACCTGACCAGTAAGCTTCCTGCTCCAGAGAACCCACCTCCCATCTCTGATTACCCCTCCTCCTGCCTGGTCCCGCCCCTGCCCTGGTAGGGGCGCATCTCACCTCAGTTTGGCCTGTTGGAACCCTCGCCACTGCCTGTCCTGCCCCAAGGCTCCCCCAAGACTGCGCTGTCTTTCCCTCATTGGAGTGTGTGTCTAAATTTAAACTCCAGAAGACAAAAACCACCTACTGTCCACTATGAATCTCTTAAAACACCAAGATAATTGCCTGGTATTTTCGGAATAAAGGAACTGATCTGAGGGAACTCTCGTTCTAACAGATACCATACTTGTTAATGATAACAGAGGTTCTGGCCCCCACCTCTGTAAGAAAGTCACACCCAAAATATGTTTTTTACCCAAGTGGAGAAAAAGCGTGCGATAATGCTACAGCCAGAACATCCCCTCAGGCCTTTAGGAATAAGGACTTCAGAAGGGTCCGCTAGTTTCCCGACTCAGACTGAGCACACATGGCAGTAGGTCAGGCTGCGTGACAGGCTGAGCCTGCAGTCCTGAGAGCTACCCCAGACAGGTCTGCGGTTCCACCTTGCACCACTCCCTCGCCCCACGCTAACTCAGGGGAATACCATTCTGCTCCAGCACCAGCCCCAGAGCCAGCCACGCTCAGTTAGTAAGCATCCCAGCTAACAAAATGTGACATACCCCTGTGGGCGCCACCGACAAAACGTAAGGAAAATCCAGAGGACAGAATGGGATCACACCGACGTTGGCAATAGACTCTGTGTGAGGAAGAGAAAGGACATCAGGAAGCTGGAGAGAGCGTGCAGAAACAAAGGTGACTAAAGAATGACCCGGAAATTCCTCCATGACTGACGAGTCCAACCTGCAAGGCTCTGGACAGGTCACGACTGTTGGCATGCCCTAACTTAGGCGGGCTCACAAACAGAGATCAGGGCAAGGCAAACAGGTGGCGAGGGGAGGAAGCTGGGCTATGGGTCACAGCACCGTCTATCCCAACATCCAGGGAAGACAACCACCTTCACCAAGGGGCACAAGCACCCACGCTCAGGATCCTGAGAACTGAGAAAAGTCAGCCCGATGTCCAGAGATCCAGGCTGTCCCATCACCCCCACAACGGCCCTAGATGCGAGGCAAGGGCCATGACTCATACCCACCCAGCGCACTGCCCAGCCTTATGGGTCCCCTTCCTTCCGGCCCCACCGTGGCCCCTCACCTGCGCACCACCTCCTCCCCCACTGCCACGGCCTCTCCTCCGGCCGCAGGTCGGCCCCACACCTGCCTCATCTGCCACGCCTCCGGCAAGGAAGTGCCCAGCCCCAGACCCCGCCTCACTCACCCTCTGCAGTCTCGCCGGGTCGGCCTCCCCCGCTCCCCATCGCGGCGACCCTCCCCCATCCCCCACCCCGGCGGGGCCGCTCCGCACCTGACCCGGTCCGACCCCGCCCCCTCCCGGCCAGCCCCGCGCCCGGCCGCCCCGCGATGGCCGCCGGCGGCCGGCCCCGCGCCCCCGGCCCGGGCCTCACCCTCGGCCAGGACTCGCCGCACCCGCAGCCGCAGCTCGCCCAGCTCGACCGTCTGCCCCACGAAGTCAGTCTGGTCGCGGCCGGCACCGCCGCCCAAAGAGCCCGGGCCTGCCAGGAAGTCCAGCGCAGACTGCAGCAGCGACATGGCTGCGACCCCGCGGCGGGCGCCGGAGCGGGGAGCTCGGGTCCAGCTGCGTCCGGGTCCGCTCAGCAACCGCCGGCCCCGAGCCGCACCATCTTCCGCCCCGACGCCGTGACGTAGGCTCGCGGGGGCGCGTCGTAACCCCGGAAAACACCGCCCCGGGCAGGTGCGCGTGCGCGTGCGTAGATTCCTGGTCGCGGATCGCGCCTGCGCGGCACCGCCCGTCTCGTGACGAGCTTCCGGCCGCCGCCTTCGGGCGCCTGGCTGACCCGAAGGCGGACGTGCGGGCGAGCGGTGTAGCTCCGGGCCTAGCGTCTAACCGTTCCCCAGGCGGCCGTGTCTGCGGAGGCTCCTTTTCAGCGTGCTCGGGCTTACGGTGGCGTCAGCCCCCGGCCGGGAGCGGCTCGCTGGACCGCAGCTCTTGAGAAACGCGCCGTTTGGCCGCCCAGCCAGCGACGTTCCCCGCGACTTGTTGAGTAAGGTCGGTAGCACCGGGCACGCTCCTCGCTGGTTCGGTTTGGTGGGGGGCCCACTTTAAGGGTCTTTTCTAAAAACATGAGTCGGTTGCTACCAAAAGCCTGAAAAACTTTAAAAAACCATGTTTCCAGCTTCTGTAGAAAAGTCAGATCTGGCAACACTGGACCCAGAATCGCGTGCGTCGCCGATCTCCTACGGCTGCCCCTTCAGGTGAGACCGTTTACCTGCCCGCTCGGCGCGTTGGTGTCGGCTGCCTGGTTCGTGTAGGCAGCCCCCTCTATTCTTTCTCAAACTGAAAGCGGATCTGAAAGTTCCAACCGGCGTCTTAGTCCTGCTAGAATGTCGGGTTATTAAAAACCTCTTTCTAGACAAACGTGTGTTATTATCCTTAGAGTCACGGCGGCTTCGTTTGTGCCGTGCTTGTTTGTGACAGACTTTATGAGTACCTCGGAGAAGAGGGCACAGCATCCTTACCCCCACCCCGCTGCCTTTTTCGGGGATAAGAAAACATGCTCAGCAATATCATTACTTGGCCATCGCCAACAAGCGTTACCGCTAGAATCCCCCCAAGTCATGGCGTTTCCCAGCAGTGCATTTGTCTGCTGCCCTAAGGATAGGCGTTCAGGAAAGACACCAAGCTGCAGACCGGTGTTTGATGTCCTCAGCATGTCGATGGCGGTTGACCGTCTTAAGAGCTGAAGAGAGCGGAAAACAGAATTAGGCAGAAAGGTGCTAGAACATTCAGAGAGTAGACCGGCGATCGGAGGAGGAGCAGCCAGGGACACAGGGAGGAAACCGAGGGAGCAGTGTGTCCCAGAGCCGAGGAAAGATGTTCCCAGGGGCAAAAAGCTGTTTAAGAGTGACGTGGAAAAAGAAATAAAAGACGTACCTTGGGTTTAGCAACAATGAGATTATCTTGTGACCTCTCAACAATAGTTTCATTGGAGCGGTGGGGTGGAAGAAGAATAAAGAAATGAAGAGTTGGAGGTGACTCGAGGTTTGGCTGTGAAGAAGGAAGCGTGGGAGCTGGAAGATGGTGTGGGGTTGAGGGGCTTTAAGATGGGAGATTTTTGAGCAGCTTGAAGCTGATGGGAGGGAGCTAGTGGGGCGAGAAAGTTCGCCCGCACAGAAGAGAGAGGAGTAACGAATGAAGCCCTCTGGAAGAGCGGGGAGTGACATCCAGAGCATCAGGACAGTGATAATCACTGTGGGGATAAGACACACACTTTTCATAGCAGAGGGAGGGAGGGAAGATGGCTTGTAGCTGCAGGTAACCTTACGTGTTTATTGGAATGAAAGCGAAGGAATTCTCTGATGGCTTCTGTTTTCACCATGAATGAGGGAAACAAAACATCTACTGAAAACAAGAAGGGAGATAAGAAAGCTAAGGCTTAAGCAATGTGGAAAGGTGAGACCGTTTACCTGCCCGCTTAAGCAATGTGGAAAACATATATAATAGCTGTTGTGGAAAACCTAGTGCATAACTCACTAGAAAGCATGGTAGAGTTTCAGGATTCCTTTGAATTTGGAATTTATCCTCATATGACCTAGGATCAGGTAGAGTTTTAAATAGCGTACTTACTTTGGAGACCACAGTTTACAAAGACTTTTTATTTCATAAGTATTTATGGAGCACCTTCATATCCTGGCACTGCACGGACCGTGTTAACTCAGTCTGTATCTCCACGCTTCTCTCCTGAACTCTTAGACCTTTGCTCTTAGATATCTCATGTTGTGTATACATGTTTACAACTGAATTTATGGTCTTCATCTGCAAGCCTCTGTAGATTTCACAGCAAAGAATACTGCCAGAAATTAAGAGGGTCATTTCATAAGATTGAAACAGTACATTCATCAAAAAGTTGTAACAATTTTAAACAGTTTTGCACCTAATAATAAAGCTTTAAAATACATGAAGCAAAACCAAATTTTTTTTTAATCAAAACCCAATTGTAAGTTGGTGTTGTAGATGGTAGTTGGAGGTTTCAGTACCCTTTTCACAATATATGATAGAACAAATACTGAGAAAATCACCAAGAATATAGTTGAATGATACCATCAACCAGCTTGACCTAATGGACATTTATGGAACACTTTACACAATGCCAGCAAAATACACATTTTCAAGTGTATTTACCATTTACCAAGATGGATCATATTCTGGGCTACGAAACAAATATGTTCTCTGACCTCAATGCGATTAAGTTAGAAAATCAGTAATAGATATCTGGAAAATCTAAATATTTGGAAACTGAATGACTCACTTCTAAATTACCCATGGGTCAAAGGAGAAATCAGAAGGAAAATTAGAATTTTGAAGTGAGAAAATAAACATGTGACATTTTAAAATTTGTGGAATGTAGCCAAAACTATACTAGAAGATTTCAAACCAATAATTTCAGCCATTCATCTTAAGAAACAAAAACAAGAGCAAATGAAACCCAAAGTGAGTACAAAAAGGGAAATAGTGTCAGAGTGGGAACCAATGAAATAGAAAACAAAAACAGAGAAAATCAGTGACAACAAAAGCTGATTCTTTGAGAAGATCAGTAAAATAGAGAAATCCCTGGCCGTATTGGACCGAAAAAAAAAAAAAGACAAATTAACAATATCATGAATAAGAGTAATGATGTCGGTGCTAAAGGGATAATCAGAACATGAACACCTTTATGCCAACAAATTCAGCAGTTTAGACTAAAGGAACAAATTCCTTGGAAGCCACTACCATGGCTCGCTCGCTCACTCAAGGAAAAAATAGATAACTTGAATAGCTTCATATCTATTAAAGCATTGAATTTACAGTTAAAAGCTAGAAATGTTACTAATTCTGCATAAACTTAAAATTGAAGAAAGGACGTATTAACCAGCCCAGCCCATTCTATAAGGACAGCATTATTCTGACACTGAAATTTGACAAAGACATTACAAGAAAAGAAAAAGATTAATATCTCTTGTGGACATAGATACAAAAATTCTTTTAAAACATTTTTTTAGCAAGTTGAATCCAACACTGCGAAGCATAGTACAACATGACCAAGTGAGGTTTGTCCCAGGAATGCAAAGTTAGCTTAGCATTTGAAGATTGATCAATGTAATTTACACTATTAACAGAGTGAAAAAGAAAACCAAATGGATCATCTTACTAGACACAGAAAAAAACATGATAAAACCCAACATCTATTCCTAATTTAAAAAAAAAAACCTGCCAGCAAACTAGGAATGAAATGAAACTTCACCAGCATATTAAGGGCATTTGTGGTGCTCCCGAGTGGCTCAGTTGGTTGAGCATCTGACTCTTGATTTCAGTTCAGGTCATGATGTCAGGGTCATGAGGCTGGGCCACATCTGGCTCTGCACTGAGCATGGAGCCTGCTTGAGATTCTCTCCCTCTCTCTTTGCCCCTCCCCTCCATGTGTATGTGCATTTTCTCTCTCTCTCCCTCTCAAATAAAATAGGGCGTTTATGAAAAGCCTATAGCTGACATACAGAATAATAAAAGACTGGATCAGTAACAAGCCAAAGTTGTCAGGTTTTACCACTCCTGTTCATCATTGTATAAGAAATTCTAGCCAGTGTAATGAGGCAAGTAAAAAAAACTTCTAGATTGAAAATAACAAGTAAAATTGTTTATGAAGATGACATAATTGTTTATATTACTTTCCCAGTCTTGGTACTGTTGACATTTGGGGCCAGATAATTCCTTGTTGAAGTGAAGGGGTGGCATTGTCTAGTACGTTGTTGGACATTTAGCAGCACCCTTACCTCTATCCCCTAGATACCATTAAAACATGTCACTTGCCACAACCAGAAATGTCTCCAGACCTTGCCAAATGTCCCTCGAGGGACATTAGCACGCTCAGTTGACACGGCTCTATGTAAAAAAAACAAATGGGATCTACAGAAAGAGCTACTAGGACTAGTAAGTGAATTTAGTAAAATTGCAGGGTACAAGATCAATATGCAAAAAATAAGTCCCATTATTTCTAGATAACCAGCAAGCTGAAGTTGAAATGAGGGGAAAATGCCATTTACAACAGCATCAAAAAATATTAAATGCTTGGGATAAATTTGGAAAAGGATGTGCAAGATTTATACACTGAAAACTAAAGAACATGGCTGGGAGAAATTAAAGACCTTAATAAACGGAGAGAGAACGCACCATATTCATAAATTGGGAGATTTGGTCAGAGTGATTCTTCTCAAATTGATCTATAGATTCAGTGCAATTCCTGGCAAAACCCCAGCAGACTTTTTGTAAAAATTGACACACTGATTAATTTGGAACTGCAGAGGAGGTAGAATACTCCAAACAAGTTTGAACAAGGACAAGTTATATGACTTACATTGCATAACTTCAGGGCTCATTATAAAGCCACAGTAATCAAAGTAGTATGGTGCTGATTTAAGGTACATAAGTAAATCAGTGCATCAGAATAGTCAGAAATTGGCTTACAAGTACACATAAGGTCAGTTGTTTTTTGACAAAGGAATAAAAGTAATTGAAGAAAAGAGTCTTTTCAAAAAATGTTGCTGGAAAAATTGGATATCCATATGTTTAAAAATGTTAATCCATATCTTGCATTATATACAACAAAGCATAAATCTAAATGTGAGACCTGAAACCATAAAACTTATTTTAAAAAGAGGTATTTTGGTATGACACTAAAGCACATCAATAAAAGAAACAACCTGGATTTAATCAAAATTAAAAACTTCAAAATATATTGTTGAAGATATTCAATAGGTGAACAGATAAACTGTGGTATATCTATAAAATGGATTATTATTCAGCAGTAAAAAGAAATGAGCTGTCAAGCCATGGAAAGACATGGAAGAGCCTTAAGTGCATATTGCTAAGTGAAAGAAGTCAGAAAAGGCCACATACTGTATGATTCCAATTACATGACATTCTGGAAAAAGAAACTATGGGGACAGTCAAAAGATGAATGGTTGCCAGGGGTTTCTGGGGTAGGGAGGGATAAAAAGGGGGAGCACAGGATTTTT